CTGTCTCTTTATCACTTTCTAGATTTTCTTTTACCAATAGAATAAACGCTTATCACACCCAACGAACCTGATATAAGCAATATCCTGTCGTGATTTATAAAGCCTGTCGTTATTGAGCAATACATCCTGCTGAAGAGCCTTTATTGTATGCATAACTGTTGTGTGCTGATTTAGTTGGTATTCAGCAGGTCTCGTCGAAATGTTGTTTCCATCATCTACCGCAATTACGAAAAGTTGTTTTTGGCAAGTGGTAGAGCTGTTGCCTCCCATTTTCCCCCAACACACTCCGTTGTCAGCACCACATTTTATTGGCCGAATCCCGTTGTCATCGATCGCCACTTGAAAAAGTTTGTGGAAATCACACTGTTTTTGCCCAATGAAAAATGCCAATGGTGCTGGAAGCACTATTTCTCCGAGCACTCCTGCTGAACATACACAGCTCAAGTAGATATAACGCAAGATGACAAGTTTATTTTTGCGGCAGTATGGTGTCCATGATTATTGTGGTGGTGATGATGACATGATGACGGGGATGACAATAGTAGTAAAGAGACAGAGAATAACAGTAGAGGATCGCTAAAAACGTCGTTCTTTTTGGTGGGTGCTAATTTATTTCTTTTGTTTCCTGGTGTATAATAGAATCGCATATCCATCCCCGTTCCTGTCCCTACTCCTTCCAGAATCATCGCAGTGCCATGGGACATGAATCGTCGTGTTTGACAGACGCTGCTCGTTCTATTGGTGGTCGTTGTGTACAATTCGAATCAGTGGATCGTGAGACCGTCGTCGGTTTGCGTGGTTGTTACTTTTATTTTTGCCAGTAGAGTGTAATACAATCGCATATCCACCGACTGTTCCTGCTGTTACTCTTTCGAAAACCATCGAAGAGACATGCTACAACAATTGTCGTGTTCGGAAGACGCTGCGCGTTCGATTGGCGATCGTTGTGTACAATTCGAATCAGTGGATCGTGAGACCGTCGTCGCTTTATGTGTTTATTGCTGTTATTTTTGCTGCTGGTGTATAAGAACATAGCACTGGCTCGACTGTTGTTGTTCGTACTCCTCCAAAACCCATCGCAGAGACATGCAACAACAATCGTCGTGTTCGGGAGACGTTGCGCGTTCGATTGGTGGTTGTTGCGTACAATTCGAATCAGTGGATCGTGAGACCGTCGTCGGTATGCGTGGTTGTTACTTTTATTTTTGCCAGTAGAGTGTAATACAATCACATATCCATCGATTGTTCCTGCTGTCACTTCTTCAAAAACCATCGCAAAGACATGCTACAACAATTGTCGTGTTCGGAAGACGCTGCGCGTTCGATTGGCGGTCGTTGTGTACAATTCGATTCGGTGGATCGTGAGACCGTTGTCGCCTTGTATGGGTATTGCTGCTCATATATGTTGCTGTATATAAAATAGCACCGCCATTGTCCATCTTGGCTATACATTGTACAGGAAATCATTAACACCAGAAACAAAAAAACACACACAAGGCCGCACAGAACGTTCACGAGCAAGAAGACGGCTAGCCTTTACCTCTTTTCCTTATAGATTTACACCAAACAGTAATCGTTAGAGCGAGTCCATTTCCTATAGAAACAAAATCTGTCAACACAATTCTGCTCCATTTACTAATTAAAACACGGCCTCCCTCCCCAATGCCAGAATGTTCTTTAGCGAGGTCGTCATAAGATGTGTTACCGTTTTTTTTGAAACCGTCTTCGCTTTTACATTAAAAAAAGAATATAGTAAAGTATTTTTTTTTGTGGAAAAAAAAGAAAAAGTGGAGCGCCCTTTGCTGTTCCTCAGTAAGTTCGCCATTTTCCACCAATTACATTGGCCGAATCCCGTTGTCATTCCGTTGTCATCGGTCGCCACTTCAAATTAATTTCCATTGTCATCGTTGTCATCATTTTCGCCGTGGCGACTAGGTCGCCACGCCGAAAATGATTCTAGGATGATAAGGTAATGTGAAAATTTAGTAAAGGGTATGACAAGTAGAGTACAATCAGTGTAGAGGGTAATTTTTGATAAGTAATATGTAATCGTCCTAATAACGGCAGACTGGAATATTGATTCCGACTAAACTACAGGCCAAAACATGTGTTTGATATGCAGGCATCACAATAGATTGAGATTGGTCATCCAAAGAATCATTCAGATCTGATAATGGGGCTACTTGCTGTACTGGCTCACTTGAAAATAATCGCAGTACTAGCTCATTATTTTCCACCTTTGCAAATTGTGATTTTGCAATTGTAGGGAGGAATCTGACACCATCGAATGATGTATATAGTTTATGTGCAAATGCATCTGCATCTGCACCTCTATTATTCTCCAAAAGGTGGTGTGTAATAATAATATATGCGGCTCAGGATGCAAAGTTTGAGTATGGCCCTTTTTTAATTTGTGTATACGCCACAACATTAATATCCGTTGGAGGTGGATATATGTTTAGTATAGCATCAGATGGAAGTGTGGTTGCCCTACTAGGTTCAACCCCATTCTCCTATTTTGGAGCCATTTTTGTCATTATTAGTATATCTATATATTCACAATAAATATAAAGAATTATTGCTTACGGTAAATACATCGGAATATTCCCCACAAAAGTGTTCGAACGTCAACCGATTATGCATATATCGAGGGCTTATAAAACGGCTAGTATAAGTAACAGGGGTGCTATCTTGATTGGATCGCCGGCGCATACTATCTTGTTTACTTAGTTTGGCCCACATTTCCTTTGCAAGTTCATTCCGTAGGTATGTTATCGTATCATCAGTAATACCATCTTGAATATAATCAAGCACTGATGTAATAAAGGCCGTATTATTGAGGTACTGATCAAAGTAGTGTCTGTTGATAGCTACTGGCCGTAGATGAAAGGTACAATCCTCTTTTAGTAGAGGAGTGGTTGTTGGTAAAAGAGAAATTTCTAATCTCTCTATTGCACGATGACCTGAATGGACCTCTATCCATGTTTGTGTATCAAGTATAGCCGCAAAGTACTCCAAGTTGAATGGATGTTCTATGTATAGATCACCATGAAAGCTAGTAGTCTAGATATCTACCATAAAGAGCAGGTTTGATACAGGGCATGCAAACTTTTCAACTATACTTTTTGTCAAATCCCATTTTGAATGATGGGGTGGACGAGAAAATAGAGAGGAGACCAAGTAGGCCATTATTGGATATGCAGAGAGCCGATCTAGGCGATACTTTAGATCACGTTGAATCTAAAGACTATTGATTGCATACTCAATAGCATCTATATACATGCTCCAGTAGGAAGCAATGTCATTAGATGTTTCCCAATGTAGATATTGGCGGCATTCCCTACAAATACATATAATTTAGTAAGAATCAATTTTTTTTTGCCAATAAGTATACATAATAGATATACAAGTATAACATACCAGACACAATGATGCACTGCATCAATATTTACTAATGCACTTGCAGTAGACATGCGAAGCTCTAACCGAGCACCCCAATTTCGGTTGCTAATTCCGATACATGAATCTTGGATAAAGCGCTAAGTAGAATCATTTAAGTTATTTAAGTATATACATTCAATGTAATTGTATTCTAATAATCATAATGATAATACCTTATAGGCTCTAAAGGGTTGCCCTTCATTAATGAGCAGCTCTGGTTTGCAATCTTTTCCAAAGCGGTAGTTATCTTGTCCAGGGTTGTAAAATGGTTGCTTTATCTTGTGGTATGCAACAATTGTTTTTATGCCTTGCATTGACTGTTCTTGTGGCAAAGACTGTCCTTTTACAGTATATTGAGAGCCTGATAGAGACTTCCAATTTGAGAAAGGGTCATACCTATAGTTACTTTTTGTCAATGTGACATCTCCGAGGAAGCGCCGTATGAAGTCTGCATGACCACCGAATGCACGGTCACTACCAGTAGCACTCCATAACCCAACTAAAGGGGTATGTGATACTGGATGAAACTCGAACCCTAAGTCAATCGTTGAGTCCCGAGGATTAACTGTATACCAATTAATATCCGAAAATGAACTGCCAAGGTCCAAGTGAAGGTCTTCATATGGATGCTTTAACCCTATTCCTTTAATATAAAAGAAAAAGCCTTGAAACCGAGCTACCCTCCGATCTTGGCTACTACTAGTAATCGACCTCATAGTCTCACATAATTGCTGGCAATGTACTGGAGGGATATATGTACCATACAGATTATGATGACCTCTACAATTCTGCAGCCTATACCCATCAGTATGATATGAGATACCAAAGTTATTACAAATGAATGCAGGTAAGCATTGGTGCATCGTAGGACAGAGAACAAGGTCTACAAAGTCTGAGATAACCTCTGTAGTAATCTCTTTACTAGATGTCAATGACATATTATCACCATATAGTCTTGGAAAGTGGATTGAGGTCTACACAATATTGATATTAATATCTACATTCACTATTGATAGAAATATAAGATGTTGTAAAACATTTTACTATATCTGAACCTATTATTGTATCCAAAATGACCAAGTAATAGGTATGGAACTTTGTTTAAAGGAATGGATTTTCCACGTCGAGACCCTTAGTTATTAATGTAACTCATTGTTACTGTTTGTTTGATCTTGTATTTATGCGGACGAAGGGTTATTGAAAATGGACCGGCTGCAGGTATTATGTTTGTCTGGAAATCCATTGAGTCAATATTATAATGGAAATTCAGGTCTACTTAGAGGCTATCAGATGGTTTAACAGCAACCGGTAGGTTGTCTTCATCTTCAACAACAATGCCCGCAAACATTGCCTCTAGGAGTGCATATTCATCGAGCCCTTGGCATAGTCGCACAAATGTATTGAACGTTACAACCTGGTTTACTATATGATAAATAGCTATATATATTAGTATAATATATCTATTAATGACAGCATAATATAATATATAATAACGTACAGTTTCGTATGTCCAAAATTCGCTCTTAGAACTGCATGCGTAGATTTTCTAGTTGATACCGATACATCGAGTTATGAATAACAGTAGTTGCTTCTTCATCTTCTAACTCATTTTCTTCAGATTCATCACTATCTTCATCAGTACTACTAAAGATATAGTCTGAATCACTATCTGACTTGGAATCAGAATTTGAGCTTGGTGAGCTGCTGCTACTAGAGCCACTACCAGAACTATGAGAATTGGAGTCACTACTCGAGTGAGAATCTAAATAAAACAAAAACGTTAGAGATGTCTTAGAGTATACTACATTCAGTTTTAGATCATTAGTCAATACTAACTGTCTAAATTATCACCATGGATAGTAACAAATTGACCACCTAGTGGTCTCATAAATCGTATGGTATCTGTAGCAAAATCAAAAGCTACCAACAATAAGACAAATGAGCTATTAGTATTAGTAAATGTGCTAATCCGATTATATCTTTGATTAAAATAGTAATTCTTACCAAATGGGTCTACAACTAGTAGTAGTGAGTGCTGTGACGGATGTACTGTATTCTCATTCTGGCTAGAAATAGTAATATTATCTATTGCTATGTCTAATGAGTGTGTTGAAGATTGTCTTTCAAGGATGGGTTGAGCCTGTAATGATGTCTCAGACCCTAAACAGCGCCGTTGACCTAATAGAAACATTATGTAGGAACATATATTAAAACCCTTAAATATATAGAAGGTATAAGTTAAACTTACTAGGTCGTTCATCACCAAGACGTTCTTCATTCCCGCGTTCTCTTATCGATTGGTAAAGATTATTGGGTAAATGCCTTATCATCCCAGTAGATGGAGTAGCACTTATTACTTGGCTGTAGGCTACATTGACATTGCTATCAAATGTACCATCAGATACTGGTCTACGTGCAAGGACTATAGAGTAATATTTAGTTTGAATAGTTTCTTGAAATTAAAAGTAGAGTGGTGCCTTTTTTTAAGGATATAAATTTATGAGCTTACATGAATGAATAGGGCGGGTTGGTCTAATATATTGTCGCGGAGGTGTATTAGAACGTTGCCCATTACTACTAGAAGAGCCTTGACTTGTACAATACATCGGAGAACTCTTTAGTATTTCTACCAATTAATGTTTATATATGTAGAGAAGTAGAGATAGGTGATAAATGGAGGTTAAGCTATAGATGGCCACGTTAAAGACCAGTTCTGCTATAGCAACAACAAGATATGTAGAGGTAAAGGTTATAGATGCAGTGATTTTCAACTATAGATAGCCACGTTAAAGACCAGTTCTGCTATAGTATCAAGAATTTATATAGGGATAGAGGTAGAGATAGTAGATAGATAGATTTTCAGCTATAGATGGCCACATTGAAGACCAGTTCTGCTATAGCAAGTGAATTTGTTTAACCACGTTTGAGTAAGGTTTGGTCTAAAAGCTTATATATAGTTATATGCTGGCAAGGGGTAAAATTCTGCTTTTCAACAACCTCTCCCCTATATATCCTTGGGGTGGTCCACCGACCTTTCTGCCTAAAAGTTAGTGTAATTTGATAGAGCTCTATCATAGCTTTCATAGGAGCTTTCATACTACTTTAGAAATCGTTGTATCTTTTCAACCAGTGATGCTAGAGTACCATAACTAGGTGTTTTAGAATCAGAAAGCTATAGTTCTATAACAAAATTTTAATTTCTAACACTGTACATTTGGTACTCCTTTGCTGTATGAATGCACAGTATGTACTAAAAGTTTATTTACAAAATTAAACTTCCGGAGGTCATAGAGATATCAAACATGTTGAATAAACTACCTCTTTCTTGTCTTCTTTTTACTAGTTTGCCGATGTTTTGCTTTATACCTATGGCATACCTTAAGAGCAAGCATTTACATATGCTGTTATGCATATATTCTACTAAACTGTGAATAATAATACTAATGTAATACTAGGGGTCGTAATTGGACGGGTTAGGTTGGGTCAAGGGTCTAACCAGTTGACCCATAGGTAAAAAAAACACTGACCCGACCTCACCTATTCAACCTGACGGGTCAAAACTCAGGTTAGCCAGTCAAGACTGATTTTGGTATGATGATGAAGGAAGTGTCAATCAATCTGAGCTTGAGTACTCGAAGTACAAAACTCTATATATATATATATAGGGGTCTAACTTATATCTAATAAACTACAAGGAAATTTATAAACTATAGACTAGTTAAAAATTTGTTAGAATATAGGAAAATTGAATTTTTACATGTATAAAAAGATGGATATTGATAATAATTATAGTGAAATATTAAAAGAAGAAATTAATAAATTAATATCAAATAAATGGGATTTTTTAGATAATGGATGGCCTAAAATATATAATAAATATAACCATCGAACTGAAATTAAAGAATTTAAAAATAATAGTATAAGATTTATTAAAAATGAATTATTAAGAATATTAGGCTATATCCCTGTTTATTATTTTTTGATAGTTTTATTTGGAAATCAAGAATATCCAGGTCCTTTTAAAGAAGTTGAAAAAGGTCTTCTGTGGTGTTCAACAATAGAAAGGGACTAGAAGTCTTCGAGATTGCTGTTTAATTCAAAAAGAATGAATGATCTATCCTTCACTTGTTTTGTACAGCTATTTATACACGACCAGGGTCTGTGACGATGAAAAGAAAAACCAGATAAATGATAGATCCGCTCAGCAACCTGACCAATACTTCTTGACGCTGGTTTCTAATCGAAACCGCTGTAAGTCAGCCACGACATCTTCTGATTTTATATCATATAGTAAGTGGTGAAAATGGAACTGAAATGGAGAAATTTATTCCATATGCTACTTTTTATCGTATCTATAAAATGTTTTGGATTACAAATTATACAAAAATTAATAAAAAAGTTAAATATGATCTGGAAAATTTATTTTCAAATATTAAAATAAGAATATTGATATCAAAAATATATAATCCTGATGGATTTAGAAATGTTACATTATTTATTGATGGATATGATTCTAAAATTAAATATTATTCCCCAGATACACAAAGTAAAGAGTTATATTCATATAAATTAAAAGGTCCAGGATTACGGACACAAATAGTTATAGATAGTAACCAAATGATATTATATACATCAAAAAGTGAAAAATGTGCAAAAGGTAATGATGGTACTATGTTTCTAAATATGAGATTATATAAAAAAATAAATGAATTAGATTGTATAGGAACAGATGGAGGATATGATTTGTTTGTTCAACAATTTATTGAAGATTCTATTAACTATGGTTATAATTTTAGTGACACAAATTTTCAATACCCAATTCGTAAAGAGAAAAAAATGGATTTAACAATAAAAGAAAAAAATTTTAATCAGAAATTTGGCTCTTTTAGATCTGAAATTGAAAATACATTTTCTGTTTTATCTAATAAATTAAAAAGGCTTAATAATAATGGTTCAACATTGCAAATTTCAAATATTAAAATTTATAATCTACAATTCCGTGTTGCTTGTTTACTTAAAAATATAAATTTATTTGTTGAAAAATATAATATTGTAAAAGATTCTCATCATAGGTTATGGTTTAGTGATGGTTTTGAATTTCCTTCTGAAAATAAGCAAAATATGATATTCTCAAATGAAAGAAAAGTAAATGAAAACTATAATAAAATGTTAAATCTACATGATGAATTTCTAAGATTAAATTTACAAGATGAAAATATTGAAAAAACTTATAATAATGAAGATATATATGATAGCGATAATGAAATAAATGATGAATATATTATTGATAAAGGTAAAAGAATTAAACTTACAAAACGAGTTGTATCTGTAAATATACCAAATTATAATGAATAGAAAAATAAAGAAATAAAATGTTATCTATTTTAAAATAATTATTTATTTTTTTTTATTTTCTTGAAATTTATGAACTTATTACTAATTTATAATTGTCTTTAAGATAACAAAATATAATCTAATGTCCATATATATATATATAGCTCTCCAAGATGATGGCATGCAAATTCCTGGCAGTGCTAGCAACATCTACTTTTAAAAGGTAAAGGGTTTTGTACCATCACAAAAGAATTCGCTTGTACTCATATGTATTACTGTAAAGAAAGC